CTTGGGTACAAAAATGTCTTGAGATCTTGTACGCATTTTTTCAAGATCTAGTGCCAAATCCTAACGTAAGATCTTGGGCAAGATCTTGGTTCCAAGATGTTGGACTAGGGTGGACATTCCGAAGTAGATATAGTTTAAAAAGATAGGTTTTAGTGCTATTAAACTGACATTCCGTCATGCAGAGACACGAATTTCCTTTTCTTTCTAGAGTCTGTTAACTCCACAAAATCATCTTCAATAGAAACATCATCTGTTTCAGACAGTTTCGTTACTAATGCTTTATTTTTAAGTATAGTTCGTGATTTAAGCGAAGTGATCTGTCTGCCCCTACACCTCCTGAATATAATTCAATCATTTTTCTCTGTTCTCGCTAAACGTGAAGTTGGATTCATCTTTCAAACATGTGTGACCACAACATCTGTCGCATGCGTCCAAAGTAACAGCATTTCACAATATCATCAGCCATTCAACCTACTCCTTTTCGTACTTTTCTGTTATTAATCGCAATTGCATTCAAAGTGCTGTTAAAGCAGCTACACCAACTTTACGGCACTCCTCCTAGTCAATATTTATCAGAGAAATAAATTGCAACAGTGTGTTTTTTACAAGTTTTTATCTCAAAACGTATAAACTACTACTGCTGTTGTTGAATTTTTGTGGCGCAAATTTTATTAACTGTTATGAAGATTGCCCGCTTATTATGATTGTTGTTGTTGTTATATTTTTTTAACAAGAAGAGAGAGACTGAGACTTTTATCTTGCTTTTGACAATGCTGTAGATTGAGTGCAAAATGATACCTTGACTTTAAACCTAAAAATTTGAATTACTCCCTTTCGAACGTTCGTTACGATCTCCAGTAATAATACCCCTCAACACCCACTCATTCACGTCATATAAGCGCTTCTTGATTGACTTAACCGCAATTTTTATGCAGCTTTCTGAATGGGTCCTCGTTGTTCCCTGTGATAATACGTTTTAAGAAACGGTTCTTTGTTAATAACCACTGCACATGAACATTAATTCGTTTGTTGAAAGACAAAACAGAATAGCAACGCTTACACTCTGACTATAAACTTCGTGTCTGCGGTTCACACTGGTGTAACTTGTTGTGGAACTTACTGCAGTGCACGGTTTGAGAAATTCGACACCCGTAGCTTCTTGAAACTATACTTAGAACTTGAATGTTTGAACAACGTTTTTCTCAAAAGTGAGCTTGTTCAACCCGCTCTAGCGTAGAGAATTATAAAGTCAATTAGTTCCTCTGCAAAAACGTAGCAAACGTCTACTATTTGCGATATAAACAGTTCTCAATGTCATACATGTATGATAGGTAAAGATCACCGTGCGTTGTGACTTCCCAAATGATTTTTTTCTCATAGTGCATCTAACCCATTTCAACTTCTTAGTCAAGACACAATCCGGAAAAGGTCAACTACCGCATATCGTATTTTTTATGGAATGATATAGGCTGATGTCAAGGTTTGTTGTCGACATTATAAAAGCTTGATTTTACTATTAAAGTTAGCCTGCTTTTTGAGAAATAAGTTCGGAAGTTCACAGTGGCGAGTTTCTTCTTTTTGGCGTTTGGTGTAGTGACAGTACATCCTTTTCTACCTCAATGGTAATTGTACTTCCTCATTCTTGTATACTCTGTTGTGCTGTTCCAGCACACATACATGTGTTTTGGTACCGGCCCACAAAGTCTGTCTGCATTAATTAATGTTAAAAACATTACTTGTCATGAATGCTGCTGGCAAAACAGAGACTCTCATCCATTGTTAACTCGTTTCTTCTCTTCACTCTTCCTCAACATTGGATTGTTAAGCGTGGCTCTACTTCCTTAAAACTTTCATCTCTCTATAGCTCTTTTTTCTATACGTTACGCCGAAGGCTATCGGTAAGACTACCCCCACCACCTCATCTGTCATCGCGAAGTATCTGTTCCTATCCACCACCGACATATAACCCAGCAGCTGAAGAAATTATTTCAACTTTACAAAATAGTCATCAAAGGCGAACACCGATGATCAAGAAGAACAAGATTACTCCCACTTTGCTGAATGTCCACCTTTAGTAGACTGTACACTATCTGGCGGTCTAAAAATGAAAATCGCGCAACTCAGTTTAATAGTGAACCAAACTATTGTTTGTGTACAGCAAAGTTCTTTCCAAAGCATTCAGTGGTGTTTATATCGTATGTCACTGAAATTCTCGATACAAATGTCGACTATAAACTAGTTGTAGATAATAATAGTGAAGAAGAAGGAGAATATGTAATCAATACTGTTCGGCATTTGCCCACATGCGGTAGAGGACGTCGTCATTTATTAACTTTTCAAGTATTTGAAGTACAGTGAAACAACAATTGATTCTGATCTTTATGGTTATGATATGAAAGGTATGTTCCATGAGAGAGCCCGTCAGCGAGGTAACTCAGGATTGCTAAAAGTTTTGGTTTCGTGCTTATCTGTTCATGGGATAAGAACAGTTTGCAGAGAGAAAGGAGAAGCAAATTTTAGAGTTCTCTTTTTACTTATTTAAATTACATTCTTCAATGTCTCTGTCGTTCGTCTTCATGTCGTGATGCTTGTATCGGCTTCAAAAATAATTTAAGTGATGAAGACAAAGAAAAATTGGCATCGTATGCGGCAGTCGGTGTCCAAGAAAAGTATCTGTTAGATAAAAGGAAACAGAAACAACAACAAATAGTGATGAAATCGAAAAACGAGACACACACTAAAAGAGATTTATATTTGTGAGATTGACTTTAAAAAGTTAGGATCGCAGTCATTACGAATCTAATTTACCGTGTCTAAGCTTCCTTCTTCCCGAGCTGGAGGTTTTCATTTCAGGTTTTTGAACAGTTTCAAGAGAGTAAAGAAGGGAGACGTCGAACTGGCATCACAAGTATCTAACGTCAAAGAACAAAAGAAAACCAACTACTTAGTTTTCTTTTCTGGTTCTGTTTTCCAAGAGATTAATTCTATTTTGAAACACTGGCGTGAACAAGATTTTTCAAAACTGGAAACCTGTTTAGCGTAGAGACATTGACCAAAAGAACAGTGCAGTTCAGCTGTGCGCTCTTGCTGTATTTAATACCTGCAAATGTTACAGGAAGTGAAACGCCTTACTAGAAAAAATATGTACAATTAAATTCAAATAAGAAGCATAACCCCGCTGGACGGTATCAAAGAAGTGAAGGGCTGTATCCAACATAATTGTTCTCCAAATCTACAACCACTAAAACTTTTTTTTGTGTTTTCTGACATTTTTTATTCACGAAATAATAGTAGAAAAAGTGTGACAACAAGAAAAGAAACACACATACGGTAAATCGGGATACCCCATTCTATACCGGATTCTACATGAACACTATAGAACAAAATAAGTATACAGAGAAGAGATTGTAGTAGTGTTGGTGAAGTGAGAGCGAAATGGGAATCGACTTCCTAGACCCGCTCTATCCGTGTGATATTCCGCTCATGGGAGCTTAGTACATCATGACTGATTGAATCTTCCGGCGGTATCAATAAATTGGATGATGGTTGTGTACACTTGTATAAGGTCCTGCTTAGGCAGTATTCGGATAGATTCATGTTTCAAAAGCATATGCTCCAACGTAATATGATTATCTTTAAGGACGATACGCAGCTCCTCATACATTAAATTACGAGACTTATCATAAAGAGCACAGTCCATGAAAAATTGTTTAGTGCTAAAGCCACATGTACTCGCCGGTGACTTTTCTAATTCGCCTCTGGTGAAGAGATAGTGATTTAGTTGGGGATTATCAGCTCTACATCGCGTGTGATGGGTTTTCAATCGCCGATCATGCATTAACGGTAAACGAAAGGACGGAATATATTGAAATCAGTCAAGTTATAAACCGAACGTATATCATTAGGTAAAAGATTCCATGCACGAATACCCTCCCGAATAATAATCCACTAAAACTTTGTTAGTTGACCATCGTTTCCTTCTCCTTCGCCATTAATTGTTGATGTTACAGGGGACGATGACGATAAGGAGGAACCAATCTTCTCCTCTTTCTTCTTAATTTCATTCAATATAGTGAGCGAACGTGAAAGCTGATGAACTGTTGAATTCATTTGAGGAGTGAGGGAAATGTCTTTCAATTTATCCTGAATAATACTACGGAAACCGAGACTATACTGAAAGTCTGTGTTCAGCGAAAATGAGTGTCCTTTCGTTCGTTTTTTCATTCCATTGACACAGTGTGTTAAATTTGCTGCCGTTGTTAAATTGAAATTTTTACTGTATTCATACTGAATTGTATAGTAGCGAATGCAATGTTGATCGAAGATTCGCTTGAGTTGCCGACCGAAATTGTCTGTGCAAGTGGAGAGAAGAACATCTTGATTGAAGACTAGGTGAATGGTAGCAAAGACGTCGCGCTGTGTAGCTCTATGAAAGGAGAAAGACAAAGAAACGAATATTGCATAAGTTATCCGAAATAAGAGCAAAGAACCACTTACCTCCAGACGTGAAAACTGTGTATCGAATTAATCTCTGGTATTTGTTTCAGTATTGTTTGCATTAGTTGTACAGTGTCTATGCCAGCTGGTACACTTTCAATTAGAATATGTCCTAGTGAAATAATTGTTGGAATAGCCAAGCTAGCGATGATGCCCACAACTAACAAGGTCAGTGATGGATCAAGATATTTCAACCAAATGTTGATTTCTTTGCCGGTGTAACGATCGTGCGTAGGAATGAATTTGTTTAGGACACCGGACAGTAAGACAATGAGCGATTTTAATAAGGCTGCCTAAAGGGAACAGACCGAAAAACTTATATTCAGGGACTGAGGACTACACTAGTTAAATATTCAAATACTCTATCCTTTCTGGCAGTTGTATAAAAGTCCCCGCTGTGATGAGATAGCTACTACGCAGCTTCATCACTTTTTTGGGATGATAGCGAAAGATTCAACGAAAGCCTAAACTCACTCGGCGTTCGAAAAATGTGGTTATATGCCTTAAACACTTACTACTGAATGGATCATGAGTGCATGTAATGTTGCATAAAGTCTTGAATTTTCAAAATCAGCGTCTAATGTATCAGAAACGTAACTGTAGGCAGAAATATTCGAAATATTCGAATCACGTCGTCCTGCCGCAATATAACCATTTGACACGTCCAATTGATGTCTTATTACTTTTACATCATTATCATTATCTTCAGGTTGTTCATCGTGGTGACGGATGAGATGAGATATGTGATGAAGTGACTTAGACCATTCGGAATGGAGTTTCGAAAGTGGATTTGAAGTTTTTCTTGCTGGAGATTCAGCTTCTGTAATAAAAATTTGAGGAGCTTGTGACATTGGCTGTCTTTTCTGACTGATGGGGCTATTGTTGTTGTTGTTATTCATATTCATCTGCGAAACGTCTGACTCTCTTCTCAGAACGTTCATTGTATCTTTTGTTGTGTTTACAAAATCCGATTTCTTCTTCTCCTCAATCTCGGCGCCTAAATCATGGTCATGTTTATAAGTTCTAAACATAAGCAATCCCAAGAGACCAATGCCAGCGCCCACTGCACCCAAAATTATCATTGCTTGTGGTCCTTCGACCTCTTGTGCATTGATCAGGCGATTAATTGCATCGACAACAATTCCAATGGACAATGACAGTAACAAAACTTCTTGCAGAAGTCCCGCTAACAATTCAAGTCGAGCCCACCCAAATGTATTTCGTTTATGTATCTGTCGTTCTCTCAGTGCATAACGAAGTGCAAAGAGTGCACCTATGAGAGAGATAGCTTCGGCAAGATTGTATAAACCATCTGCAACGGCCAATTGAGAATTGGATTTGATACCGAAAACGACCTTTGACAGTCCGATTCCAAGAGTTAGGATAAACATAGAAATCATACGAAATGTTTTCCATCGAAAGATGTTGATAATTCGTCTTATAACGCCACAGTCGGTGACACTCTGAAGTACAGTCATATTGAGCTGAAAGAAAGAAATTAGAGGAATATGGAACCTATGATTTTACTGTACACAGAAAAGCGAAAGTTATCTAACGTGTCGATGAACCAAGTATTTTAAAAACCTCTCTATCTACTAACTCAGTCGTGCGCAACGACTTTCACTTCAAGCAACGTGTGAGCTTCCACCTGACGTACCAAGCCGTAAGATTAAGAATATATTAATCTGTCAAATTATAATTATTCTGTCATGACTTACACGTTTCTTTTTTTTGGCTTTAATAGAATAGACAGCTACGACAACGATAGGCACTGCGTAATTCCTTTTACTTTGATTTGTATTCTCACTGAACCATAACAATGAAAGACGATAAATGATGGTATAGGCAGTTTTAGCCATTGTTGAAAAAAAAAAGTATATGTAGAAAAGAAAGCGCAAGAAAACTGGACATTTTTTGACAGAAGACGGAGACATAGGTTCGTTCACCTGTTCTTATACCTAGAGCAAACCAATGGATAGAATAGACAACTGTTAGAATCGATGGGAGATGGAGAGATGTGAGAAGTGACGGTGTGATCAGAGTTTTTTGTTTAGTGTGGATAAGGATAGCACAAGGGGGAAAGACGACTTTTTTCTTTCTTAGCATCGGAGAGCATCTCAAGCATCAGAAAGCATTTCAACGGCTCCGAAAAGCTCCCGGAGCCGCCTTTCCTCCTTTGGGATAGCACCTTTTCTTATTTTTGCGCTGTTCTCGTTCAATGTTTTGTGTTTATTAAGAGTTAGAGGGACAGTTTTTATAGGAGTCCGAACGAAGATGTAAGATCTACGCATCTGTTCTCACTGAGTCGGCAAAGCAATGAACTACAGATTTTAAATAAAGGAACGTTGACTATCAAAAATTCGCTTTTCCCAGGCCAAGATCAGGCATAAGACTCAAAGAGATATAGAGCGAGGTTCTATAAAGAAAATTGAGTGGTGTCAGATTGTTGAGCTCGAAAAAAAGTCATGAATAAAATTGAGCGATGATGCACATCATGGTAGCCTCGCTCAAAATTTTACAAAAACTCCAAAAAAAATAGATTTGCCCATTTTTGAATTTCAGAAATGAAAGAATTATGTTAAAGTTCATACTGTTCAGGAACGCAGTTCTGCTGCATCTAACCTTTGGCAGTTATGACTGATTGAATGAGGTTTATATGAATGTAAGAAAATTTCAAAATGCTTCTCTACTACTTTGTACAACCACCACCACCATCACCACATGTTATCAATACACAGGAGTTAAAGTCAACATATCAGAGGAGAGTACTTTTCGCAAATCGACGACGATGCTCATTTTGTAAATTATATAACTCAAACAAAATAAATCAGGGGGAGCTAAACATTTTTTCATAACCCCAGTTTTGATAGTAGAATCCGAATATGAGATAAAAAGTATATGTCAGTTTTCACCCGTGACTCGATTTCTCGATAGGCTGGTGAACCGTCTCTTAAATTATACACAATACTCACTTATTGATTCATTAATGGTAAATAATATTGTAATTCATTATGACTTATAATAAGTATACCTTCTCCTTTTATATCATACTGCGGACGACAAGCACGTCCAAGCATCTATTAAACAAAAATAATAGTGTACAATGCAGAGTTGGAACCGGTTTATCGGTTCTCTTTCTTTTTGTGGACGCGGACCAGAAAAAAAAGAACGCCGTATACGTCCGTGTCCGCAAAAAGAAAGAGAACCGGTAAAGACCGGTTGACCGGTTCCAACTACACTGTACAAATAATCAACATACTACACTATGTGATAAATACATACTTGCATCACATCTAACACACCCAGGTCTGTCCAACGTCCTTTTTCGGGATAATAAACTTGTGTACCTTTGATAATGAGAGTATTAATCGGCAAACACCCCACGCTAATGTTGCTCTTGAAAGTCTAATAAAAACTAAACAAAATCACATAGTTCCTCATTTTTTGAAGTAGAAACTGACCGTTTAAAAAGTTCACATCAATTGAAGGATTGGGATTTTAAAGGATCAAATTTTTTGAGTAAATGCCACTTTTGGTCCTTCAGACAGAATTTCTCAAAAAAAAACGTCAGATTAGCTTCTATATGTGCAGAGCTCCAAAATTACTAGCGAACAAAAAGCTCCAAAATGTTAAGGACGTTCTCAGGAAACTGTTAAAAAGGTCGTTTTTTCCGAAAAGTAGGCCTTTTTTGTAAACCATTTTTTCCCCATAAAATCACATCAACACAGGACAACAAAAGGAGCATTCGACGCATTTTTTTAAGTTTTATCCGATGAAGGAATTCGCATTCGATTAGAAAACATTTAATAATACAAAAAAACAGCTCTTAAGGGCGATTTTCCTCGTTTTTCAAAGTTTAAGTACATGCTGCACCATTCTACGGAATTCCAGAACGTGGGATGACATATATCTCGCATGTACTCAACGTGAGCTAATAGAAAACAGGCTTTTGTCTTTGGTCAAGTACTTTCAAAACACACTACAAGTAGGAAAAACGGGTTTTCGAATCAGAAAATCTTGGTTTTTGGAAGTCATAAGCAAAAACTTCACAAGTTCTTGTTTTGGGCAAAAATGGGTGCACTGTGTTCTTCGAAGGTGGTTTTTTTAGTTAAACAAACATGAGTTGAGCTCAGATTTTGTCGTCGTTATCGAAAATCGCGCTTTTTTTGGAAGAAAATTGAGTGAAAAAAGACCGTAAAAACCTTTTCAAGTACAGTTGAAAAATGAGGTACTTTTTTAGTAAATTGATTCTACGGAGGGTGGCCAACGATATTCGATCTTTTTGAAACCAGTTTTTTATTGCTTGAGCAGCCAGTAAGTTTTTTACAAAAATCTTTTTGCAACATCCAGTGCTAAACGAGTGGCAGGTAAGTCAGTGAGTACACCTTTTGGCCCAAGTGCTAACTCTAAAAGTAAATTGCTTCGTGTTTTGTCCTGAGCAGAAAGCGAATGGCTTTGTAATATATATTTGGAAAGACCAGGAAAAACCACGTAAGATAATACGTTTCGTTAAGATCTGCGATCACATTCTTTGAGTGCCGCTCAAAGTCAAGAAAAAATTTGGTTTTTACCTTTTTTTCGAAAGCAAGGGTGAAACATAGAAAAGATTGCTAACTGAAGCTGCAGTCAGTACGAAACTTTAACCCCTTGTGTCTGAAGTAAATATGTTTTTTAACAGTACGTTTTTCAACTCTCTCTATTATATTCTCTTTTGACGGTTAGTTCCCGTTTCGTCGGAAACTTACTCTCGTACCGCTGCAGCCGCCTTTGAATTTCTTTTACACTTACTGCTTTTCGATAAAATAGGAGTCCACCATTTTACTTCGAAAAACCACCGATTTTTCATCGATCTCATGCTGATTTCTGATCGGCCGATCCGATTCAAACTTTTAACCGACCGATTCGATCTGATTCCAACTTTTTCAATCGGTTACAATTTTGGACTGAACCAGTGCTTTGCTCAAGAGATAAGCCCACTTAATTGCACAGGAATCTACTTCATGCGTAAAAACAATGTCAGATCAAAAATGACCTTTTTTCTTTACTTATTTAAATTTTGACATTATTAACATTAGTTTACTGCGACTTGTTAAATGGCTTTTTGATTGTAATTCTAATTCTTGTACCATAGAAGCGTAGGTGGAAGCATTCTAAAAATTCGGCTAACGACAACGGTACCGTTCAAAATTTTCAAAACGGTAACGGAACGACCGTTCTACCAGTTGTGTTTTTAAAAAATCGTAGAAAAGCGATCCTTTTCTGTTCTTCACTAGTTTGTTAATGATTCAATCTCTGTCCCTGAATAGAAATTGAATTTTAGAAGGTAAAAAGTAAGAAAAAACGAAGAAAAATTTTAAAACGTTGCCATTCTCAAAAACGTTTTAGAACGGCCGTTCTAAAGTCTCAGCTATGGAGATGTTGAATGAGTGGAATAGCTGTTACAATAAACACTACAACAATAATCGATGACAGGTAAAATACACGTTCGATAGATGTGAAGATATGAGCGCTGCATATGCTCTTTTAAATAGCAGTTTCGGAAAATTTATCGGGCTTTCCAGAAAACCACAGTTTTTTGGAGACCGTGTTCCGAGGAAAACTTTATTTTTTTTTATTTTCTGTCTAGACTCATCGAAAAAACTTTCTAAAAACAATAATTGTTTTCAAAATTGTAGCAAACCAGACAGTCATTTTAACAAAATATTCTGGTGAGAAGCCTGTTTTCTGAAGAACATCGCCTGCGGAGTAGCAAGCGCGGGGCCTACTATGATATCAGCACCATCGATTACCTATGGTTTTCAGAGACAAAGCAATTCGCCATCTGGAAACGTTCACTTGTTAGAAAAAATGATGGTACCGTCTCACATGCATGCTGACGGACATATTATCAGTCCACTTTTGTCTTCAGTTTTTCGCTTTCCCCGTTATCGCTAAAACAAATCCGGAAAGTGATTTAAGCACGTGAAAGAGTTTTTGAATTGAACAATAAATATTTAAAAATTTCATTTATTTACCGGTCCATTCAACCGGGTTTTTGAAAAACAAATATCATATATCCACCAGGTCCTTGGTTGTAGAGTGAAACCTTTTTTGAATAGCTGTGATAAATACAGTGTGTCCCAAAAGTCCCTTGTGGAAAATATTTTTGAATTACTCCTCTGTTTCATTGAACTTAATCAATATTTTTTTTTCATATGATGCATATCACCGTCAAGTTTTTATTGATATGA